GGAATGGAGAACAAGAATTCACAAGTTAAATACTGGTTGCTCCAGAGATTTGTAACTGCTAACACGTCACCACATTTAATTAATATGGTGAAGAATTTAACCCTACATTTTCTTCCTACTCAGAGTTCAGCTGGCAGAAAATGAAGATAACATACTAACCTCTTTCCACACTTGCATATGTGTTTTACAGCTATTATAAGCGCAAGGTGATTGCATAACGATGATGAAATATTTTGTAGTTCTTAGGCATTGCAAGGCCAGCTATTTTGACATGCAGTTATTCAGGCACCTGCCTTTATAAATGTGGGTCTGTCTTAATGTAACCACTGACCTGTGATTTTTTTTTCTAATGTGTTTTGAACCTGAACAGAAACAGTTCAATCAGCTTTGGGGCTGTTTTTCTATTTTTCTCCAAATTCTCATTAAATAACTGGATTGTTTGTTACAAAATGGCAAAAAGCTCTGGGTGTCTCTGTCTTCCCTGAATACAACCAAGTGCCTCTCAGAAAGGAACTTCATAGAAAATGGTTTAGAGGACATTCAGGTTTGCTCGTGAGGTTTTCCCTTACTTCTGTGTTGCCAGTCTCAGATACTTACAGGTAACAGTTTCATTTATGCAGCTCCCATTTCCATACATCCCCTCTGTGCCACCTATTTCACTTTAAAATCAGATTTGTAAGTAGATCCCAATTTCCCACTTCAGATTTTACAACCAAGCCCAAACTGATGGTTTGCCTACGTACGTAGACTGATGATTACTGCTCATCTCAGGAACAGTGAAACTGTCTTTACTCTCCAGAAGCTTTGGGGGAACACTATATCTGTGCTCTCATACTGATTTTGTGTGTATGTGGATATGTGTATGCATATTTATGATTATTCATATACTGCAGGCTGTAAAATGTATTTTGCTATATAAATGGTGAGGTTTTATTCTTAGACATAAGAAAACAAAAATTCTTACAACAGAATAAGAGAACATCAAAACAAGGATACCAATTAAAGGGTTAATAATAAAAAAAGGAAGGTGAAAGATGCATGTTCCCAGGTTTCATGTTGCCAAATAATAGCAACTGAAAGTCAGAATTCAGCAGACCATGCTATCATAACTTAGTATTTCTTGATGAGATTCTAATTTCTTGCCTAGATATCCAATAGCTACAAAGTGGTTAACACTCAGTCTGCACACTAGGTCACCGTCTTCCAGAAGACATTTTAAAAGCCTTTTATGAAGTTTACAGCATGATCCACTATTTTACTTGATGAGGGAAAGGAGAAAATTCTGTAACCAAAAAACCCTATTGTACCATGGAAGCCTTCTTCAATGTGGTACCAGGTCACTTTTACATTGTTGTCCTCTAAGCGTTTCTTGTACAGCAATCCATCATCCCTGAGCACATCGTGTTCGCAGGTAATTATACAAGCCTCAGGTAGGCGGCAAATAACAGCATCTTCTGCTAACAGTGGTGAAATTCTTGTCTCAAACAGTTCTTTAGTTTCTTCATGGATTTGAGGAACACATGGAGTAGGTAATGGTGGCTCATAATCCTGTTTGAATTTCTCTGGGATAAGATCTGGATTTATCCATTTCCTGTATTTCAAATTCACACTCTCAGGAACATGAGAACCGGCCAAAAGAGCTTCCTTCAGAGAGCAATCCTTATTCAAGTACTTCAGCATATAACGGACTGTACGTTCCAGAGACAATAAGGCAGTGAAGGCATTTTTCTGGTGAGATGGCAGATTAAAGTTCAAGGCCTGGAGAAGTGGATAGATCATGACCTGGGCACGTATCTTTGGGATGTCTGTTCTGTTTGCTAGTTCTTGGCAAACATTAGCAGTAAAAGTGCCCCCTACACTATCTCCACATACGATAATCCGATCAGGATCCACACCGTAGTTTTCTGCAGTCTTCAAAAAGTGAACAGCAGCAGTGAGACAGTCCAAATTCTGGGCTGGATACTTGCACTCAGGAGATAAACGATACCTGAAATATACAAGACTGCAATTTCTACAAATATATATATTTGATAATTGATTGAATGTGTCAACTTAAATGCATCCATGGATTATATTTTCACCAAAAAAAAATGCCAAAAGCAGTGTTACTTACTTAGTTTAAAATTTTATATACTAAAGAAAAACAGAACATCTTCCTCTCCCATTTCTGTCAAAATTCAGACTGTTGATCAATGAGGTTTGTTCTAGCATAATTTAAGAACACAGGGGCTTGAGTAGTGCAGTCCAATCACCCACAATATAGAAAACCATACATTTACTCATTTTCTGGTCAGCAGGGAAGTTTGCAATTCTCTTGTTGGGACTGACTGCATGTATGTATGTGTAGCTGTAAGTCAGTCCTGCTTGCCTAGAGAACCAACCAAGTTCTGGCTCCCAAGGCTTTTACACCGGGGACAATGATTATTATATTTTTATTTTATTAGTATATATTAGTATAGTATTGTATATTATTATTACACTTTAACATAATAATAGTAATTTAATAATATTATTATAAGCAACCACACAGTAAATGTACTAGTGGTGACAAAGTAGCTTCCTGTAGACAATTATTTCATTTCTTTTGTTAATTGAAACGGGCAGCTTGCAGGAGAGTGATAAAGTAACAGTCTCTGTTTAGTTCCTAACCAACAACATACTTGCACGTGATGAAAAAAGCTAGGCAGGCATAACAGCCCAGGCAAACACCCAGTCAGGTTTAAGGGAATGAAATATTGACCTCTCCTTTGAGAGCAAGATGCATTTTTAATAACTACAGTTCTTTATTCTCTGTCTGTGCAGTCTTAGGTCTTTCTGGAGAATATTAGGTTTAATAAGGAAAAGCTAAATACTACCAAGGCAGTGGTGCAGGCAATCTCTGTTAACCCTTCACTGTTTGCTGAGGCACACTGCTCCTGCTTTTCTGTTTTTTCACTGTTCTGCTAAACTAACTCAATGGATTCATAAAGTAAACATCTTAATAACTAGGGAATAAAAGGATATCAAGATTTCAGAGTCATTTTAACACACCATGACTCACTCACATGTGGAATAAACAATTCATGTTCAAAACCAATTTCTCCTAACTTAATAAAATTCTTTAGTAATGATTTTTTTTCCACAGGAGAATTTGTTGGAAAATAAAGTTTCTTTTTGCCACCAGCCATTTTCCATAAACAGAATGCCTTTAAAGGGAAGCAGTGGCCCATGTAGTTTTAAAAATATATTAAATTTTAGGCTTATTGTTTACTTTTTAAAATCATTCCTGAAGCCCCCTAAGTATTAGCATGAAATCAGGAAAGCGGTTTGTGATACATTATTATCAAACAAAGGCGATGATTTCTGTGGTGATAACATAAAACAACTGTGCCTGTTCTGAAAACAGCTGCCAAACTGTTTGGGTTACTTTCTAACCCCTTACCAGGTGTACCTCCTCATTTCATGGCACGTGCTTGCCCACACGTATTGACAATGTAAGGATGGACAATACTAGAGCACATTTTCTTTTCTTCTATGCAAAGAAAAGTAAGGCTTGTTCGGAGGTGGGGAAGCACCGGGGGCAGCTCACTTACCCAACAGACATGACCACGGAATCAGATTCTCTGGCTATGTACCGGCATACTCTTTCGTGGCTTCCTACAGAACAAATGTTGTTAATGAAATTAATAGCTTCAAATACTTGAAGCAATATCCTCCCTTCTTATGACATACTGCCATGATTGAGTTACACAGAGCTAACCAATTAACGGTCTTATTAAAGAGAGAGGACATTTGGTACTGTGTCCTCTGTGTGGGCCCCTTGCCTGTTTAGTGAGCTACTCGAATTTTCTCTAGGATAAAATAGTCTAGACTTTTGATCCTCAGAACACACTGTAATGGTCATATATTTAGGGAAACTGTTGATCTGTAAGAAAAACAGGGATTTTACTAAACGCAATTTCTTAGAGTGATTGTAAGGGATAAAGTAGCTTGAGATATTCATAAAATATTATTACATTATTTCAAATTAATTGTGGGAGAGTCAGAGACTGATTTAGTCATGTCATATCATTTTGCTTTGGAAACGCAAATTGTATTACGATAGCTACGTCTACATAAATTCTATATTTGAAGCAGAGATTTGACTATTTGCTGAAGAATGAAAGATGCAGGTGGTATGCCTCCAAAGAAATCAGTGTATTTCTGTGTGGCTAATTCAGGCAGAAATCCAAAACAACCAAATTATGTTATATTAAAATGTCTAATTATAAAAATATTCCATGGTAAGGCTGTGGGCAGAAGTGTGCCTGTTACAATGTATTTAAAGATACACTGGGTTTTTCATCAGTCTTAATTCTGTCTTTGCTACATTTAGAAGATTTGGCTTACAGGTATTGTTCAACGATGTGTTCTACCTTAAATCACAGAACCCTAACACCTTTTAATATGGGTGTATGTCTGCTGCCTGTAGAAACAGTATTTTTTAGGACTTGTCAATTACATATTTACAATTATCTGCTTTCTCTAAAAAATTAAACTGAAAAGAATACATCCTAGCTAAAGCCCATGCATTGTGGGCACATATTTAAAAATGGCTGCTGTAGGCTACTGAATTACACTGAGTGCTGTTTATAGACAAACCAATAAATATGCTGCAGGCAGAGATCAAAGGGAGGAATGCAGGAACTAACAACTTCTGTTAAGTTTTCAGACCAAAAAGAATTTGTTTATTTAGCAACACCACTTACTATAAGGAAGATATATGCCATAAAGAGGGTGATATCCTATAAAGAATAATTTGGATATTAAATAAAGCCATATTAAAGAGTTCAAATAGTAAAAACAAACATTAAATGCTTTCTGTCTCTCAGTTGCCCAAACTAAGCCTCAGACAATTGGGTTCAGGAGAATTTATATATAGTTAACAACCATAAATATTTTTTAAAATAATTAGAAAAATCTCATTTTCTGTTTCAGTTTCTTACTTATGCCTCCGTACATCCCGCATCCTCCATGGAAGAAGATGACTCCTCTCCATTTGCTTGCAGATGGTAATCTTGGGAGGTAAATCCTCACTGGCACTCCATCAAAATGCAGATCCTTTATGAAGAGCTTTGAATCCCTGAATGCCGGCAGTCCACCACAAATCAACCTAATAAGTATGTGCTCCTTAAAGATACCTAAACTTTCTGAGGTCTTTGCCTAGGCATAACAGGAAAAAATCAGTACAGGAATGAGAGAAATCAGTATAAGAAATCGAAATCTTTCCACTCTGTAGGGGCTGCAGAAGGCCATGTTACCTTTTTCTATGTTGTATTTTGGTTATTTGCTATTTTCCAAATTAATTGGTTATTTATTGGTTATTATTATTATTATTATTAAACCAAATTTATTGGTTATTTGCTACTTTGCTCCCACAAATAACTCTAGTGGCTTTGTGATTGCATTTGTGAAAGTGAAAATGTACATCTTCATGATCTGAGATACCATTATTTCTGGAGGAATGTTGTAATACTTGTTCTAGGAAATATATAAATACCTTCTTGTATCTGTGATCTGGTTTTATCACGTGTACCATCAAGAATTTGCTTAGGTATGCAATTTAGCTGTCGTGAGGCCTAAGGCTCCTTTTCTAGTCCATGAAGAGAAAGAGGCAGTTCTAGAGGACAATTCCAATTTCAGCTGCGTTGAGTCACGCTCTGGAAATGTCTGTTTGTCTCCACTGATTATAAAGGGAGACTATCTACTTCAGATGCCTCAGTTGAAGTTTTTAAGGTTAGGTGAGATGAAAATGTCCCTGGCATGATGTCAGATGCAGTAACTCACTGGTCTTGGGTCATTTCCATACCACAGGGACAGTGACAACAAGGTTTAGGAAAATTAGTAGTGCCTACCACAGAAAGGTTAAGGTTGGAAGGGATCTCAGGAGAAATCTGGTCCAACCCCCCTGCCAAGCAGGGTCGTGTTGCACGGGATAGCATCCAGGTGGGTTTTGAATATCTAAATATCTAAGTAAAGAAGTGCTTTCTCAATAAAGTGGCCTAAATGAAGAACTTGGTGAGAATGATTCTGAACTTGATCTCCTTCTCCATCAGCAAAACCATTTCCTTTATCAAGATCCCACAGGTTATTTAGGAAATGGCACTAGGGCCAGGTTCTTAAATTTCTTAGGGAAAACTGATACTCTGAAGACAGGGTAGGTTTGTTGAATGTGTCACAACATTTTCCTATCCAAAGCCATTCAATTGCCAATAATTGAGATAACCTGGAGGTCATCATGCTGGAATCCTCCTTCATTTTGAACACAGGTTGTAAGTGATGCATTTCCTGCTAGGGGCAACATTTCTTTCCCTATTAAACGGTGACTTAATTGCCATTACAGACTATTACAATTCATCCTTCTGGAATGATGGTAATCATAACAAGCAACGTGCAAATGTTATTTTCCTCTTCTGAGCAACAGAAGTATACATGTACATGCTGTATCAATGTCTCATAAAATAATAGCCAGCTACGCTATTGTAAATTGGTCTTTCTGATCTCATGTAGCTGGCCTCTATCTCAGATTTGCTCTGTCTTGGAGAGAATTCAAGTATTAGCCTTAAATAGCAATTCTTCTGCATGAAAATGCAAAAATAAGACAAAGATGCGGAACTTTCTTAGGTGCATGAGCTCAGCTATCACATATACATGAAGCCAAAGCTTATGTGGGTCAAGTGTGTTGCAACACCCAGTTCCTCACCAAGGCATTTTTTCAAACTTTTTTTTCTTTTTTCAAGTTGAGTGAGGAGCAATATAGGAAGCATCATGAGCCATGGAAGAGGGAGAAAATCATCTGAAAACAAAAATGGAAACTCAGAGATGATCTGGAGTTTTTTGATAATGCTGTGTGCCAGCACTGCCAGCAGAGCTTGTGTTGTTTTAAGTCCCAGTTCCCACAGACAAATTGGATAGATACAGTTCTTGCCTTACAGTTGAAAATGGACATTTTTAGGTATCCTGAAGAAGGCAGAAGATCAATATAAGAGTCAAGCTAATCCTGGCAGAAACCACAGGGTCAATATAACCTTCCCCAAAGAGCAATTTTCAAAAATTCTAGTGACTCTTAAGTCAGTGTTTTTGATGAAGTGATGATTTTGGAATGACTGAAGTCAACAGAACTTCTGTATTGTGTTTATTTAATCTCATCTGTACTTTCTAACATCTCTGTTTTTTATAAAGAGCCCTCAGATGACAGATAATAATATATTTGATAAATTTGATGTCAGAATATACTCTATTGGTATCAGAATATACTTGGAATCAGAATATAACAAAAATCCTTTTTCCATTCCTTATTTTAGGAACTCTTGCCATCACAGAGGCATCTTCAGTTTCAAGGAAGAAAATGTCATGAAGGAGAATGGGGAATTTGGTATGTGTCCTATCAAAAATCTTTTTAATAAATAAGTACAAAATACTTCAGAACCAATAACAATAAACAAACAAACAAAAATAAATAAAAGGTATATCTATTCCTAGACAGATGTGATTGGTATTAGTAGGTGAAACGTATTGTATAAGCCAGGTTCTAAAAAGTGTATATACGTAAGAAAAAGAGGACCCAGACCAGCATGTCAGTATACCTATACTTGTGAAATAGGGTCTTTCTTTGAAAAACTATTTGCTGGAATGCCTAAATTCTGGCACAGACTTGCTTTTTACATGGGAGATCATATGGTGACCAGATTTTTACTTTAAAAGTGATTATGAAATCACATATGAAATAGCAAAGACCACTCCATTTGAGCTTCATGGACTTATAGACTACATTTGACAGTCCGTCTGTCTCAGTCACTTTGAAGTGCAATGCTTTGCCAATTAAAATGGTTATCAAAGCTTTATATCACAGTAAAATATGCACAGTCTAAATGCGTATCTGTAGAAATGGATTAAAACAAAAGCTAGGATAAGAGCTAGGAGGCTTTCTCTCATCTTTTCTGCTTGAGATTGTCATTGATTTCTTCAAGAGCATGTGCATAGATGCAGCAGGAGCATCATATGTGTAACTATGCTCTAGATGATACATTTGACTGCTTATGCAGGTATTCTAAGAGATATCCCAAATAAGTGGAAGTAAAGAGCAGAAGACTGTCCTGTGTCAGGGAAACAAAAAATAACCAAAAAAAACAAAAAAAAAGAGGTCTTTGCTGCAACATATGTGATAGGGAGTACAAACAGATAAGTCACTGGCACAAGAAGAGTTCCATTCATAAGAACAAAGAGGGTATATTCATTGTACATTTGTAATGCACAGAGCATCATATGCTTTGTAAGAAACCTGTGAAGTCCTCACTGTGAGGACGACTACTTTTCCAAGAATAAAAATAAACCTAGAAATTCACCAGAAGTAGATGTATAAAAGGGTTTTTGGAAGCAAAGGGCTCAAGAAAATTAAATTCAGTGTATAGCAAATGTGGAAATGCATCTTTAAAACTATCCAGAAAAGGAAGTTGAAAATTCTGGAATATTATAAATAGAGATAGAATATGTACTGTTGCAGAACAACCACTTAAAGGCTGTAGAAGTAGCATCAGTAAAGAGAATCATCTGAAATAATCTTTTCATCAAACCAAGTATAGAAATATAGAGGACCTAATGACATCTAGTCATTTTATTATATTAAGTTCATATATATAGCTTAACATGAAGAGCAGCCTGAGATATGTAAGGAGAGCAACTATTCTTTCGTGACAGACAATGCAGAAGGGTACATGGGTTGTAGGCCACTGGAGAATGAGGGACCTGATTTGGTGAATGCTACTATGTGAGTTTAAGCAACCCATGTAAGTCTTTAATTAACTATAGTGCCCCAAAAGACTTTTCAGGATATGGGCTTTAGTTACTGTGTTCAACACATACAAGTAGGGGATTAGAGAACACCTCTGCTTGAGATGAGCCCCATACAAACATAAATGAAATCACTCTGTGGTTTTCCTGCAGACTTTCTTTTGATGTGGTATATGCCAAACATAACAGGGCTTGGGCTGCTTTTGTCTGCTCCTGTTGTCTTCTTTGAAATTTGTTGGGGTAAGAGCTGTTTCTTACTCTGTTGGCAAAGTAGATAGCACAGTGAGTCTAGTTTACAGGTACTTAAATAATAAGTAGTAACAGCTCTAACTGAACCTGCTTTGTCCAGGAGGTTAGATTAGATGACCTCTGGAGGTCCCTTCCAACCTACATATTTCTATGATAATTCACCAAGACACAGTAATTCAGCCACTGCAGAAATAAGAACATGATTAATGGGTAATACAATTACTGCTGGTAGATTAATGTTTAAGAAATTACCTCAAATATATCAAAGTGCACTCAGATACAGAAAGTCCAGCTATTATTGTTCAGCAATTCTGTCTTTCACAGGACTAGTCATTTCATTATAGAAGGCAATCAAGTTACAATTGCAATGTAAACATGCAAATCTCAGTATTTAAAAGAGCTCACCTCATGAAGGCTGCTTTTATATACAGTATTAAAATACCAGATCAAATTTTGGCCTTTGCCTTTAAATCTGTGTTACCATATGGTTCCTATTACACACAGTTGCAATATTTAAATGCTACATTTATAGTTCTACTCATTTTTTTCCTTTCCTGAAAATCACAATATCACAGAGCATGATAAACTCACCAGAATTTCCACCAGAGTATAAAAGTAATGGTACAAGCTGAGCTTTGATGGCTGGTCAACTTCAGGAGGAATTTTTGCCTTGAAAGAATCATAAGAAGTTGCAATTAAAACCAGTAATATAAAAGCAACTAGAATTCCTGCTATTAGTGCCAGAGCATAAAAGAATTCCATTTTTCTTTGGTGGGGATGATTTACCAGAGAACTGTTCAATATGATTCTGTCAATATTTATATGCTCCAGATTGACTCCACAGAGAAGTAATTTGCATACCAAAATTCCTCCGCCCTCCTCCTCCAAATCGGGCTGCCAGATGCTAGCAGTAGACAAACATCCGGCAATGACTGCTGTTACAGCTTTGTTTAGCCAAAGTCAATGCCTACGATACTCACACTCGCTATTTTGTATATTCCAGAATTGTAGATGGACTTTGTTTTATCTGATTGAATTGTACTCTGATTTATGGGCCTGAAAAGCTATGTGAGATTTTTTTCCAAGGGTACTAGTCACTGTAATGAAAGATACTGCCTCTGCTTATGAACGCATGGAGGACTGGCAATGCTGAACTCCAGTTTGATCCTAAGACTTTACATTTAGTGCTGATCTTATTTATTTATTTAATGCTATATTGCTGAGGCACACAGCTGGCCAGAACAGTTAGAACAGACATTCTGAAGTAGATCTAAAGGAATTTTGCTTTTAGAGGTGAGTACAGAGGTATCAGCTTTGGAAACTCCCTCAGCGTGCAGCAACGGTCTTGGCTCACCGAAGGTCCAATAATATGAGAGGGAAATGAGAAAGAAAATTTCACTTGGAGAGCTTCAGCTCTAACGCTCTTTTTTTGGTGCATTCCAAAGCAAAGATTTTGATGTCTTTAATATACCGACAATAAACAACTTAATAGCTTGCTATTTTTCTGCCAAGACAACTCTACATTATCCTGTGCTATAATTTAGGCTGTGATTAGACCGTATGGCTAGCCACGTGCTTGTGCATATAGAGGTGATAATAACAAAGGAATGAGTGACTAGGTACAGCTTCATGTACTTCTGTGCACCATGTGACTGCACAAACATTTTTGGGTAAAAGTAAAAAGCAATCAGTGAGCTCAGCTTGACGCAATCAATAGAATCCATGCTTATCTCCAAAACACTCTGAAATATTCCTTTATATCCAATAATCTCATAGATATTCCCATTTAAAACCCTTATGAAAGCTTGTAATCATGGTTGTAGAAGAGAAATACTCCTACTTATGAGCCATAAGATTTTGGGTTTGGCTAACAAACCTGTAGCGGTACTCACTCAAAATGTGGGTTCTTAACTGAAAAAGGTGAGTTGTTTCTAGCTTTTCTTAAACCATGAAAAAAGTATATGAAATATATCTACTAAGAAAAAAATCCCATTTATACAAAATATGCCTCTACTTAGAGGAAATAGTGATACACTTTAATGTGGATTAGTCAGTAGGCTGAAGCCATGCGGAATGGCAGGAAACAGCCTGAGTCATAAGAGATAAACTACCAGATGATACGAGTGAGCTGACTGGATTCTTAAGAGAACAGATCTAATTGTTATCTTCAGTGGAATTCAGCAAGCACACCTGATTCAATTATGTGGTTCAAAACCCTAAAAAAGGTGTTAAGCATTAGAAATCCATATAAGAAAGTTATATCATACTACCCTCAGCTTAGCTCAGCATGACTGGAACATGATCACAGTATGCATCTTTTTCCATCTTTTCTGACTCACATTATTTGACTAAGCTGGGGAATCATTGATCCCTTCTGCCACTGTGAGGTGCAACACACTTAACTGAATCCCCCGTCTTCTTAGCCATCAAACCTGTGGGGATATGGCAACTTTAGTTATTTTTTTAAAAAACAACAAAGACTTAAACAAAAGAAAAAAGTAAGGTTTTATTTCTTTTCATACTTTTATTTCTGGGAAGGAATATATAGGTTGGGATTTAAAGATTTTAGGTAATCCATCCTGAAATGAATAGGTTTTAAGTTCCGAATGTCCCCATATAGATATTTCATCTCCATTTATTCATTTTTAATTCATTTTGTGGTGGATTTAAACACTCCACTGATATCATCATCTGAGAAGAGTATAGAATATTCCAGTTTCTCCTCCTAAATACTAGATGTCAAAATATGAACTACCTCCTTCGAAATCACTTGGGAGCTCCCACTATACATGTATTTTTTCTATGATGTCAGGACTCTCAGATCAGCAACCAACCATCTCATGAGATATTGGAGGAGCAGTAGGAGTCCTATAAAGAGAGGTTCTTGGACTCTGGGGCATGTTGGTTTAGGGATTTGTTTTTGATCAAATGTTGTTGGACAATGTAATTGGAGGACAGGGATGATTGTTCTGAAAAAAGCATCTCTTCCAGTTTATTTTAGAGGTCAGCTGCTAGGAAGCATCTGGATCTGTGCATCCTACAGTTATAACTGATCTTTCTTCCTCCAAAGAATCAGCTAATGCTCACTGTCCTAAAGAGAGTTGTAATAACTTGCACTTTCACACATCAGGACAGATAAAATGCATTTAAAAAATGCGGAAGGAAGTATAAAGGAGTTGAAGGTTCATTTGGCCTTTGGAAGCCCTGTGTTGTTTACTTCATGTATCATTTGTTCCAGAGCATGCCTGCAAAACTGCTCTTTGATTAACAATATTAGTGATACCAATTTGCAGGGTAATGGCAGTGATTCAGCAAGAATGAGCAAATTGGCTTTCTGCTAACAATGGGTAAAGTTCTTGAAATTTCCAGATACGTTATTAAAAGTCCAGCTGACCCTTGTTCAAATCAGCATAAAGAATGTCTTGGGTTGTGTGCCTTCTGCCTTAGCCCAGCTGAATCTCTCTAGAGATCTTATTTTTCCATAATCTGATTTATAATGTGATCTTAACCCAAAATTAATTCATATACTAAAGCTGATCCATGCCCACCTTCCAACCTCCAAAAAAGTTTGCTGCTGACACAGCTCTCTCTTCCTAACACTCCTCCTTTTAGCTTCTTTTCAGAACTGTCAAGTTTGAAGAAACTTGTCACAGAAGACTTGAATTTTTTCTCCTTCATATGTACTAGTGAACCACTAGCTCTGAAAAGAAATTATAACTGTATGTAATGAATTCTTTTAAAGAAGGCATTGTTAGTAAAGATTCAGGGAGCATTTTACCTAGGGATTTTTTTCCTAAGCTAGTTTACAAGCTTCCAGTGCAAAACCATTACAAGAATTAACCTACTGTTCTGTTTTTGTCAAAATCTCTGTCACGTTGATTTAGTAAGATTCCAGTTCAGACTCTTGAAACAATAAACTCCTTCTCTAATTTTGACAGCCTTATGGGCTTAATTCTTCTGCCTCCCTTGTGTGTCTTAGAGGTTTTGTCAGGACTGAGGAAGTAATCAGAAGGCACAGCAAATTCTGTGTGACCTAAAGGTGAGGTAAATGTACTAAACAGAACGTAAGATGAGTTAACCAGTTTAACACAAGGTAGCCACTCCATTCCTATTAACGTGATATTTCTTGTTCTGTCTTTCATATGAAGAAGCAGGCTAACAAATTGACCCAAACTGGCTCCTAATTAAAGATAAGTAAGAAAAAAGAAGGGCAGTTATTACAAATTATAAAATGTAACATAAGAAAATAATTAAGCAATTGACAGAAATTACTTGATTTTGCATCCTTTTGTCTGAATTCCTGGTAACACCTACATGCCCTTTGAAAACACTGTTCTACTTATAAAGACAGTTTTCATACATACTGAATTTGGAAAGGTTATGTCATCTAGAACATAGAATCACTCAGTAAGGTATTTATTTGCTATACTGATTTGTTGTGAGACCCAGGGAAAGCAGTAAGACATCCCAATGTAGCTTTTCACACACGGCTGAACACAGACTGTTTTCTGTCAAGTCTGGAAGCTAAACAGAAACCTGGTCCCTTTGAGCCTAGTCCATGGCAAAACTCCACTTACAAGGCAACAGTATCAGACTTTTAATACTTAATAGCATATAGAAGGACAGTGTGAAATCATAGAACCACTGGGACACATTCCAAATGGAAAATGTGAACTCAAGGGAAGAATGAAATCAAGAAGCACAAAAATATAGCTCTTGATTTATCCAAATCTGACAGCAGTACTTCATGTAACAAAAACCAGATCAGCTTGGCAAAGGGTTTTCAGTTTTTTAAAGGAGGCTTAGTTTTAATCTGTGACCATGATAGATTGTCAATGCTCAAGAACCCTGCACTGATGTAAAAAAACCTGGTACTACTAGACACCCTAGGAACACAGATTTTCCATTGTGCAACAGTGATGCACTGTGTTTTGAGGTTTTCACATCTGGTTACCAATGTACTATATATATACATATATATATATACACATATATGTTTAAGTGAAAACACAGAAACAGTAGCCCAAATGGCTTTCAAACATGTCTCGAACATGCTTTTAATTTCCAACTCCTTTTCCTTTCAAAAGTTCTTACAGTTTAGAAACTTCATGTGCATAAATTTACTTCCAAGTTCACTAGGAACTGGGCTGCAAAGGCTCTGTAAACAAGTGTAGAGTCCTACCCATATAGATGCAAAGTCAAGAGTATCATAAGCATCCAAACACTCTATCTGAGCCTCTATATAGAGTCAGAAAATTTTGTTCTGCGAAAATGGACCTTTGTTATGCAAATGATATGCATACAGCATGCATCAACTTGTTTTGGAGCTAAAAGTTGCTTTTTCACTGCTTTTTATTCCTTCACAACTCAGCAAGTTAGAAAAAGTATGTTTCTATGACTCACTGAGAGTGTTAGTAAATATACACTGGTGCTATTGCAGTTAGGCACTATTGTGGTTAAATATTCAGAAAACATAAATGCATCTTTTTAGCTTTTGTCCTAAGAATTAGTCATTCAGGTATGATTTAAATTCAAACCTGTTTATTCACAATAGATTAGTAAAACTGTATTAAAGCCTAACACTTTAACACTTCTGTTAAGAAGTACAAACCCAGAAATATATACAGACAAGCAGAAGGAAAATCTGAATGAGTTACCACTATGAGGTGTTACATGACTGCCTTCTCGCTCTTGTTGCAAACTGGAGTTGCAAGTGATAGCACTAACTGATGCAATTTTACAAAATTAACAGGCCTGCTTCCTGAATGTTCCAGTGCACTGGTTAAGGACTTCTGAGTAAGAACATGGAAGGGATTCACTTTGGGATGACTTTAAAATTACGACTAGGAACCACTGCTGCAATATGACAGGTCCTCGTTTCCATCAACAAAGGTATGTACCAAGTGTCTGTTTGTACCTGTAGATATTTACTGAATGCAATTTGAATAATCAAACCTAGCTGAAGTTAGGTTTGAAACCTAACTATATATTTGTAAGGTTTCACCAACAGAAATGAACTTCTTTAACAAAAGCATATGTTAGATTTGGAAAAGTGACAGTTTGGAAAAAGGTCTCTCACCAAACAGGAGTTTAATGATTACTATACAACAATCAGGATCCCAGCATACTAAATTTTTGCCGCTTTTCAGAACAGAACTGCAGTTGAAGTGGACAAACCTCAGCTGTTCTCAGTACATGTACAATTTCAAGCTTTCTGATTTTTCAGTTAGGTGAATTTTTAAATGACTTGCATATACTTTTCAACATATAAATTACAGGTGAGATGCAGTAACTTCAGTTTTACTGTAAGTCTGCTTTTGTTACATGCTCTTGTGCACTTTTGTAATGTAGAAACTTCTGGTCGACGTAAATCTGAGGTAAAGTAGTAAACAAGTAAAATAGTCCATTGTTCACTGAAATTTTAAGGTCAGGTTAGGAAAATACTTAACGTTAAATATTTAGATTAGTCTTTTTAGTCCAACTCCAAATGTCAGAGCAACTTTTCACATAGCTCAATAAACCAAAATCGTAATGAACGAAAATAATAATAATAATAACACCTCTGATACATTTTAGAATATTATTCAAAGCAGGAAACAGATATATGAAATAAATATTTAGAAGACTAGTCCCCTTGGCATCAAAGAACCTACAAATGTTTGATATTAATAATTTTGTTGTTTAATCTGAACATAGTCCTATGGTGTAATATTGCTGACTTTTCTATTTTAAATGTATTTGTGGAGATTTATGCAGAAAAAATAAAGTTAATGGTCTCAGGAATCAAAAAATCAAACATACTTTCTCAAACTTCATATCCCTTCATTTTTAAGGCTGCTTCTTATTTTCATACCAGAAAGTTGTTATATTTGTTACCAGTCCAGACACTGAGTCATTCCTGTTTAAACCAGACACTAGGCTCTCTGTGTAATTTCTCTCTCCCCTTCAGAGCTTTTGGACTGAGAGGAAAATTGTAATGCCAGGTGCCTCCCCCAGCTCCCTTTCTAAAGGTATTACTGTAAAAACACACAGAGGTGCTAAATGCTGCCAAGCGGCAATGGAAATTCTCACAGCTCTGGTTATTTCAGATGCAGCTAAGTTAGGGAACACCACCTGATCCTGAAAATCTGTACAGACTTGCAGTTTCCAGTTCAAATGGTTCAATTTCTTCTCTCCAGAAACCTCTCTCCTGATGCTAGGATGATGCTCTGATAGTCCTATGGCTTACTTCATAAAAGGTAAACTGGCATTTAAAGGTAAGAACTGTGCAAGTTTCTCTCTCTCTTTTTTTTTTTTTTTCCATTTCTGAAAACTTATGTGGAAGTTTCAACAGAGCTGAAATTCCAGAGATTATGATATTGCTCATATTATGTGTTAAAAGAACCAGGTATGAGATGAGTTTTGAATGTAGGTAGCACCAAAAACTCAGTTGTTCTTATTTTTGTTACCAAACAACCCTTGAACTCTCTGTTACATGGCCACTTTGAACTATGAACATTTCAAAAATGTTTTATCCTGAAACATAAAAATAATTTGTTTCCAAAGGGATTTAGCTTCCTAACTCTCTTCTCTTGGTCGAGTAATATGACTTTGCTGCCTATATAGAGATGCTTAGACTCGCCCACTTCCATTGCATTGGTCCTTTAGCAATTATAGATAAAAGTTTGAGAATCTATCACTTCTGTCATCCTTCAGTAATTCTAGTTTTTACCACTAGATGGCTTCCCAGGATAGTGGATATAGGTTCAGACCTCCTGAAGTAACGTGGGATTGGATTCATTTGGGCACCTTCTTAGTAACATATTCAGTCATAAAAACAAAGCTCTTCCCAGCACGACTGAGATGACAGCAATGTGAGGTTTGACATCTTTGAACATCTTCTGACATCCTGACATCTAGACATTTCAGCCTATTTCTGATTGCTGCCACAACCTGTAACTGTGGAGTGAGCAGCTCTCAGTTCAGACGTGCACTTAAGATCCTCCTGAGAAAAGGTTAAGCAGGACAGCTAAATATATAACTCACCTACCTACCTAATGCCTAACAGTGCAAACAAACGAGTCGGGGGACCTGGTTGCAACACGCTTTGCCCTTTCTCCTGTTACAACATAGTTTTAAAGTGCTGTGGAGACCTTGTGTTGCAACTATGCCCTCATATCTGGACAAAAGTCTTGGAAAAGGAGAGCAGAAAAACACCCTTTGATGTGAGAAAGCACGACTCCCTGCTTCGGCCGGAGCCTGCTTTTTTCATTGCCCCGCTACTGAAGGTACCAATCACCAGTTTTCAGCAACGTAAGCATCTTCCAGCTTGGAAAACCCATGAGTTGTCATGCAGTCCGTAGAAACACTGCTTCAGTGGTAATAGATGTTGATGATTATCAGCCTGGGCTGGACTCAGCCCAACACTCTCGGGCTGCAATAACTTTTCCCATCAACACCAACTTAACCTGGGCAAGCAGCTCTCTCCCGGAGCTCGCAAGGCACAGATGGCTCCTTTGAACTCAGCCTTAACCCTGACCGCTCCTGAAACTTTCTGTTGTTGTTGTTTTCCCCCCCCCCCTCCTGGGCTCCCGTCAGAGCCCAGCACCCTGCTCTGCCGCGTTCCTGTCAGGGAGGAACAGAGGAGGTTCCTGTCAGAGGCGGGCGCGGGCTGCGGCCGCAGCCGGCCCCGACCTCATCCAGCCCCGTCCCAAAGCCGTCCCAAAGCCATCCCGACCCCAACCCACAGCCGCTCCGACCCACAGCCGGCCCCGACCCCAGCCCCAGCTCCTGCCCGCCGGCTGCGGGCGCCGTGTGGCGGCTCCGAGCCCGCGCTGGGGGAGGGGAGAGCACAGCCAGCCAGTCACAGGAACAGTAGTGAAATCTCCCCGACACTTTAACTGTCAATCAGGCTTAATGGGGTATAAAACCTCCCCGGCGCGGCGGCTGTGATAGGCAGAGAGAGCAATAGGGAGAAATGAGTAAGAGCCAGCGCTGAAGCAGTGCACGGCGTAATTCCTGCTCTGTGCTCCCCGAGTGCCAAACCCGGCAGAGGGGGCAGAGGGAGGCGGTTATCAGCTCGCCCTCTGCGACCGGCTCGGGACAGGACGTCTGGAGATATTTATAGATATTAAACCAAAAACAACAACCTTACCCTGAATAGACCCTTTCTTAAAAAGAAAGTCCTGGCAATTCTGTCTTATTTAAGCAATTTCCTGAGTCTAAGAATAGAAATGAGCTGCCTGGAAGGCACCGCAGGCTGAAATTTGGAGACATAGGCTGCTTTATTTTATTTTTCCAAGTATAAAAAAACCTTCCGCTTGGATACTGGATTTTTGTGACAGCCTTTGAAACGGAGGGATGTATGGTTACTTTTAATTTTACTTTCTTTTTGTCTTTTTAATTAAAAAAAGAAAAAAAAAACTGTCTTCCAGTTACACAGCGAGGAAACCGTGCTACCTGCGTGTGACAACCCCAAAGGACAGCGATCAAGAAGCAGGGGAGTGACTCGGTCTTCTGCACTGTTCTGCTCCTACCCCGATTTTTTAGGGGAAGAGAAGGATTTTTCCAGTCCAAGAATCCGTTGCCCCCCACGTTTCGGAAGGGGGCCGAAGACTTGTCACCCACCCGGGGGTGCATGAAGGGTAGTGGTTTTCTTTCTCTCTTAACTTGGTTCTGTGAAGGGTTGGAAGAGAATTTTGCCTTCCTGGCTTGCCTGGAAGAAGAGGATGATTTGGAAATGGCTGGGCGCTTTGCTGCTTTTCCCCGTGCAGATGGTTTATTTGGTGGTGAAAGCTGCCGTGTGCGCGGTGCTGCCGCCCAAGCTCCGGGACCTGTCCGGGGAGAGCGTGCTCATCACCGGCGGGGGCCGGGGCATCGGCCGCCACCTGGCCAGGGAGTTCGCGAGGCGAGGAGCCAGGAAGGTGAGCATCCACCCGAAGGGGCTGGGGGAAGCGAGCGGCCACCTGCTGCTCTGCTGGGGAGCCTCCGGCCCGGGGGCTGCAGCCCGTGCCCCCCACCTCGGGGGGGGGGGGGCCAGCCGGGATCGCGTTCAAACGGACTGAGAGGGGGAGAAGGGGGGCGCTGGGTGTAGCGCTGCCGAGCCTCGTGTTTCACCGAGTCGCCCACTCCTCCTCCTCCTCCTCCTCTGCATCCTGGCTCGCCACACCTCGGTTAAGAAAACGGGAAGGTGAGAAGGGGGCCCCCGCGCGGGGTCCCCCCCTTGCAGCTTGCCCACCGGCCGGAGGGGGGCACGGGGAGGGCCCTGCTGCCCGTCCCGGGGGGTGCCCGCTTTGGGGACCGGGGGGAGAGGAGTTGAGCTGCACCCCAGTGGTTTGCCACGTGCAAAGTGCTTTCTGCAGTCCCTTCTGTTTTTGCTTGCTGCCAGCCCCGAGCTGTTCAAAGGTAAGGTGAATGCTGGCCCAGCGAGGAAGAAAAGCACAGCGTGAGTGTGAGCTGGGAGTTTGTTCGCACGTTTCCTTTAGGAAAGGAGAGGGCTGGGAGAACCCAGTCTGTGCTGCAGCCTAGAAATGTCAGTGCAGCTGGCGTGCCCGTTCTCTAGCTCAGGAACTGCCATTCATCTTGAAGTGTTGTGCTTTCATAACTACAGGTGTCCCCATACGCATGAATCAATCGGCAATAATAAATAAATAAATAAATAAACATACCCTGAAACAAGGTTTGAGTTTTCAAGTTTCATCTTTACCCTCATATAGGGGTAACGGAATGGAGGAATCATGTGAAATTAGACAGCTGCATAAATACTACAGCACGTGAGAGAGGATGAATGGAAGCAAATACAGAATAAAGCAGAAGAAAAATACAGAATGGGGGAATATTTAAAGAAAAATAGTCATTTAGTTTAGGATACTGTTTTGTCACTTCCTTATCCATGCGCTATGGTTTTCTATATGTGGTTTCTGTATGGAGCTGTTCTGGTGTGCAACTTTGAGGCGTAAAATATGTCAGCATTGAACTTTGATGTTTGTATATGCTTGTGTTTAAACATCATGTTGAGATTTACAAATTCTTGGAGACAGAACAAACAAGTTGACTGACCTTTGGACCCCAGCAATTTGCTGAAAGTGTATTTACATTATCTGGTAGAATACCGTGCTTCATTATTTATTTATTTAGCCCGGTTGGTTGCTATGCTAAGCTGAGGTATTGAAGTGCCACCATTTCTCCAGCTAATTCAGGAGCTGCTTAGCTACAGCTCGGCTGCAAGCTGAACAATGGTAGTCAGCCCTAACTGACATGGGCCAAGAGGAGCTAGTGAGCTGAGGATGAGGATCTGTAAACTGATACAGACTGTAGTTCATTTGCATGTCTTATCTCTACAATCCTTACGTATCTTAGAAGGAAAGAATAAACAAGAGAATTATTCTTGGGAAGCTTTGTACTTTTCTCATGGTGTTATGAAATGCTGTGTGGTTGCTAGTTACTGTTTACAACTTTTTTTTTTTTTTTTTTTGGTGGTGGTGGTGTTTTTTTCCATGCCTGTCATCAAGGTGTTTCACTTTTTGCTCTTACTGAACTTGAATTAGATTCTCCTTTCAGTTAAACCATGGCTATCCTGTGAGCCAAATGTGGTACTCAACAAGCTGTGATCCTCTCTGGTACTTTGGAAGTGGCACATCTTTCTAGCAACGGTGAAGTAGGCTTATCTTTTTCTTCCTCAACATCTTCAATGACAATTTTACTCCAGTGTGGTTGTTTCCATTCCCTTTGCTCTGAAGTTTCACTGCTTTTCTGCCTTCTGTGCTCAACCCTGACTTTCTGTGTCTATTGCAGTCTCCGTGCAGAATGCAAGCCCTCTGTTTGGCATTAATCTTTGATTTTTTGCTTTGCCTTAGACAATCGAAAAGAACTGAGAAAGACTTGAAGTGGCTAGCAAGTCATTTTTCAATGAGGCTTTTGAGAATTAATTATTCTATTTTTCTCTTGCCTTTTTATGCAGTTAGCTTGTTTATAATTACATGTAAATCTTTGAATTATTGATCATAATTAATATTTTGTAACAGATTCTGATTGTCGGGCAGTATATTCACAATATTCCATGTTTGGAAAAATGCTTCTACCAAGGCGCAAAATTCGGAGGCCATGCATAGTGTTACCTACAGGTGAATGAAGACAGTAACTTAAATTCAGATTCTAATAGTGGGTGTGCAGTATATCTTGAAAAAGTTATCACAGCGCTTGCGCACACAGACATAGTGGCGGAGTTTTGGAGGTAGGCGGCGATATACAACCATATTTTTGAGATTAGAATCTTCTGAAAGATGGGTTAGTTGAGACTGTTAGCATATGAAATTTCCTCTGATAATTAGGCTGGATTAGATTTCACCTTGCTCTATCTTTCTTTTCAGAAGCTTGTTTTGTTAATCACGAATTAGATGTATCTGAGCAGTTTTTACGTAAGATGACAAGTGTTGTATTTCATGAGGATTAAGAATTGTCACATCTGCAACTTTTTAAGTGTAAAATTTGATCTTGCAGTTAAAGCTCTGAAGATGTCAAGAAATAAATCAGAAAAGGGTTTAGGCGAATGGAAATAGTGTGTCTTCAGCTTGACAGATGAGCATGGAGACTAAAATTCTTAAGCCAGCAGACAAGAAGTCTCTTGGGCATGATCATGTAAATCCACCCTGGTTCCCATTCTCCACCCCCATTCTTTAACTCCATTGCTCTGCCACTGTGCCTCAAATAAGACCTGAAGAGAGAAATGTCTAGGAGAAGCTTCCTTCTTAAATGGTGTATCTTTTCTCATTACTGTTCATTGGCCTTTCCGATGAAAATTCCAAAAAAGGGACACAGCAGTGTTAGTTGTCTCTTCAGTTATAGAAGTATCTATCTTCTAGTCTACTACCAGCAATTTTTAGGAAATGAGAGACTTTAATCATTAGATCATTCCCGTTCAGGTCAATAATGCCTGTGAAATAAAAATCCTCTTCCAAACATTAACGGTGTCTTGCAAAGAGCATACTGTATAACTGAGTTAATATTGAGAGGACAGGGCCCTTTGAACAATGTTTCTTATATGGAAGAACAGCCCGTTACAGATGTGAGTAGTCAGAGGGATGTAGGGGCTGAATGGGTTCATTCACTGATGGTTAGAGTTGGAAAATGCTTCTGGGGTTCTTCTATGCCATTTGCTTCGCCTACAGCATTTTCTATTATAGCGCCCTTGCCAGAGATCTGTCAGCCCTGTTTTTGATGATCTCCAGTGATGAAGTTTTGATTTGTATGTCTTTTGTATGTCATTTGTATGTCTTGCTCATTGTCAGTTCTTTTTTTAGGGCATTTCCTTGATGTCTAAATTTTTTCCTAGTAAATTTAACTTATTTTGTTCACAGATGGTTTAATTTGAGGTCTGACTGAACAGGAAAGAGATGCTTGGTTCTTAGGCATTCTTTGTTATTAAATGTTACCAAAATCTAATAAAATGTACTGAAAGGAGATGTAATTGTAAGATAGAAACACATTCCCCAACTCTAGTATATATTTTAATGTTCAAGGTTATCTGGCAGTGACTTTGGAAGACTAACTTTGGCCTTTCCTGTGGGGGGAATGGCCAAATGTCACTGATTTTCATTAGTCTTTTTAGTTACACCTTATGTTCTGGGCTTAGCAATAAGCAATATGGATCTTCAGTAGCGTATCTACAAGCAATCTCAGCAGTGCTTTCCTGCTGTTTCTTTGTGATCATTTCTGTGATCTCAGTTCCTTTCAAAGTAGGTATATTTTGTCCTCCTAGTTTTGCTTTATTTTTTTCCTCCAGCTGTGATTTGTTTGGCTTTTTGATGAATCAAGGGTGTTTTGACAAGAGACATGTCTTCAAAATACCAGGTGGATGGGGCAGCCCTATCCTTCTGGTAGGGTGATGCTGCTGCAGAGGAGAGTCTAACACTTCCTATTAACCTTGCTGAGAGTTCTCCATATTCAGCAGTGTTCAAGAACTGACCTGGTAAATACACGGAAAGATCTCTCCTTTCCCTGTTTGGTTCTCTGGATGTTCACTTCCTGTATTGCAGAAGACTAGAAGGCTCAAAGTGCTTGCATGCTTGAGCAGTGGATGAGGTAAGCAGTCTGGAATATCAGGACAGACGAGCCCTTACTAGATGGCAAGGGGTTAGTATCACCAACAAAAACAAGAAACGGAAACTTTGCTCTTGCATGGAATGTACTGCTTGATAGCCATGACCTCGCTCTGTCAGCACGGGAGTCTAGACAGTTATGTTTGCAAGTCTGCAAGGTACTTCTAACAGGATGACAATGTGGTGGGCAGCTGCAGAATGACACAAACGCAACACCATAGTGCTTATTTTGGGATATATGCGTGTGTGTGTGTATATATATATATATGGTTTATATCACTCCTGGTGTTGATCAGGCTACAACTCACCTCCTGAAATCCCGGCTGTCCATTCTGTCATTACTTACACAACATTTTTGAAGTCAAACCTTAATATCTTTATTTAGGAAGACCCCTTGCAATTTGAATGGGTTAACCTCTTTCAGTGCAGTTGCAGTTGGGATGGGAATAAATCAAAAGAGGAAGGAGCTCTGAGGAAGGGATGAGAGCTGCACAAAGCTGGCACTACTGCAGGGAAGACTGGAGTGGGTTTTCTTCTGTGTTCTATTAAATTCAACCCAACTGAAAACCTCATAGAAATTTCAGGTGCTTGAGAGCCATTTATAATTGGAGGGTTTTAGCTGAATGAGCTTTTAGACTATAAATTCTGACTAAGAGGAGAGTATTGCAGGAAGATGGCACAAAGTCTTAGAATTTAGCCTGGCATGCCCAGTAATGGAAAATCTGGCAAACTCTGAAATCCTTTTCTACAATGGTATGTACCTCTCGCATTGTCTGCTCAAGCTGCATCTATAGTTCTATGAATATTTTACGTCAGTCTTTATGAAT